TAAATGCGAAAATTTAGATGAATGGATATTTGTTACGAGTAGGGGTTTAAGGGTGGAGGTTACCTCGGACTCCCTCTGTATGTTGTGGCAGAGCGCGTGCTGCCAGCAGAGGCACAGCTCGCACTGCACCATGAGGCCGTCCTCCTCGCGGTACCCGCAGTGGCAGTTTATTATCTCCTCGCGCTTCATCTGAACTATCTTAATACGCTCGCCCGCTAAAAAAGACATATACAAAACACTAAAGAAACAAATACTAATTACACAAAACAATCGGAAACTTAAAAAAATCAGATCACTTCTTATACAAGCAAAAACTAGTTTTATTGGAATCAATCTTACTAATATTATAAATGCCAAAGTTAAGAAAATACTTGTTGAAAAATATTGAATGTTACTGAAAAAAACACTGTTAAACTTACTCTCCGTGTATGTGTACATTTGTTCCTTGTGATCCTCATTGGACTCCGAGGAGGGCGCCGCGTTCACTGACGTCTTAGTATCCATCACCTTCGAGTCCGGAGTCCCGGAGCCGGGGAAACTGGATCTCGTTTCTACATCAGAATTCATTGAAAGCCAATCATCTTCCTCGCTTTGATTATTAGGGAAAGAGGCGAATTCCCGTCGTTTCTTTTCCTTCTTCATTATTTCAAATATTGGTTTTGTCACTGTATGAGTTGATATTGACGTTTCAAAATCAAGCACATCCGGTATACTAACTGGCGTGCCGCCTCGAGCTTCCAATCCTAGTTCTCCAAAGTTTTCATTTCTATCCGAATCTAGTCTTCTAACTGGAAGTAAGACTTTTGGTCTTTTAACCGGTTTGTTCACGAGAGCGTTACGCAGTTTAGGCGAATCTTGTGTTTTTGGTACACTTCCTAAATCTGGTGGTGAAGATATCGGTATATCAACTTTCAATTCAGCGTCTAATTCTTTCATGTCTATTTTAACTTCGGGACGTTTCGCTGGTTTAGGGATTTTTACTTTAATCACCTTGTTTTCTCTTTTACTTTTTATTTTAGTCATTATTAATTTCGTAGGTCTAGTTCTAGCGTAAGCTAAGTCTAGAACTTTAGGCGTAGCGCCGAGGAGTTTCCTTAACTCTCGGTGATAATGTTTAATATGCATTTTCAATAATGTATTATTTCTGAAGTTCTTAAAACAACCATCAGCCGGACAGCGTAACAAGTTTTCTATGACTTGGACCTTTAAAGATCCGACAAAAACTGAAAAATATTTAATAAATTAAACATAACACTGCCAACAAATAAATATGAGAGGATTTATAAAAAAACTATAGTTACCGTATCCATCTTCTAAAGTGGCATTTTCGTTAGGCGTTTCTTCATTATTAGCAGAATCGAAAATATCTTCATTGCTTGTTTCTGGTAAACTAGCTTTAGTGTGTTGTTTGTGCTAAAAAGGGCATTTAGATAAAAATATGTCGTAAGAACAATTAACTTTCAAAGACAATAATGCTTTGTAGATACATAAATGCCTGGAAAATGTACAACATTAAAAAATTGGTTAAAAAGGGGAATGGAAAATTGCTTACCATACGACGTATCTTGGCATCTCCACTCCACTTTCTTTTCTTGTCTTTTGACTTGACTATACCCTTAACTCTGTTGAGGTTAAGTTTTTTTCT